CCGTTGTTTTAGAATCTTTTAAACGTGATATTCGTCATCAGGAGCTCAAGTTGTACTAGTCCTGTTACTCTCGAACAATCCGGATAAAGTCGGTGTAAAGCCTGGTACGCTCTCGAAAGAATCACCCATGTCTCTCAAAGCTTTCCTTAGGAATATAAGTATCGCCGCGAATGAACTAGTCTGAAACAGTCTGATCGCGTGACATCACTCTTCTGCATTTTGGTGAACCAACATTTCCGTGAATTTTTTATAATATGAATTTATGTATTCTGTCAGGACAGACACACTTTCAAGGCTACTTATCAATGTGCGGAGGGTGAAAGGATCTCGAATAGGGATGACAGTAGTGTGAGAGTGAGCGCAAAAAGTTGTTTGATACTAAGGATGTTTGTGTGATGTAGTATCAAACAAGTTACCGGGGATTCGTATGTACTCAAAAAATGTAGTCCAGTCCATTAGATAGAGTAAATAGTCCAATGAACTTTGTAAACTTTTGTATGCTCTGAGAGTAGTCCATTAGTACCATGACCATTGTCAACAAACATTTTATTGTTGCCAATTTCTATTTCCTCGTGGTCTATTGTTACAAATAGCTTTAGCGTCCCTTCGTTTCTGCTATCACGCCATGTGTTCCTAGGTCAGCTCCACGAGTACTATTTTAACACCTTCGTTCACCGTCGTTAAATGATATCCATACACCAAGATATTCAATCACAAAAAATAAAACTACAGTACCTCTTAAGCTAATACACACAAAAGTGTTAAAACCTGCTCGTGAGAAACACATCTGTACCCAGTTGAGAGAACTGAACGATTCAATAAAACGTTACCAACTTGTTCTGGATTTATAATTGAGTCCACCTAGATTTTTTTTCGAATCCAGACCAGTCAGAGTCCGAGTCCATGAACTCAAAAACTTTTCAATCCAGTCCATGTGAACTAGACTCGACTGGACTATGGACTCAAGTCCATACGGAGCTCTGCTAATGAGATTACATTTGAAATAATGACACAAGAGAGGAAAAAAATAATATTAACACAAATAATTTTTCGTTCATATCCAATTGTATACTCACATCATTAGTTTAATGTATATTTATTAGTCAGCTGAAATAAGCATCATAGATAGTCAAGAATCGCAAAGCATTGTACTTGGTTATCTGAAGAAACGCAACATAGATAAATGGAAATAGCCATAAAATAAAAAGCTATTTTCCTTGTTTTAAAAAAAAGAAAAGGAAAAATAAAACACTTTACTTAAAGGTTTTTAAAGAATAGATTTTTTAATAACAGTACTAAATAATTAGAAAATAAGTTGTAAAATTTCGTTAAAGACAATGTTTTTCGTTGTATTGGAATCGCATGAATTACTTTTATGAGATACCCTCTTGAATTTTATAGAGGAAAGAGAATGTACACGTGAAAATGCAACATAAAGTTAACCGTGTGTGAACACTGATTGAGGCAGTAATAATTCAACTCTGTCATATGTCCTTCTAACTTACTTATTGTCATTGCAAATGCAATCAAATTGGATACTGGTGTTGCTAGAATGCTCATCATAAACGTCCCCTATCCACTTGTGGCGCTCTCTATCAATTCTCACACTTTTACACTGAATTATGGCGTCCTCTTTTCATAGATCACATAGACCGTAAGTCTAAAGGACTGATACATTTAGGAAACTTTTATATAGATCATAATGTATTGCACTTAATGAAGAGGGCCAAAACTGGATAGAGGCATTTTGCAAACCTATCTAGTTTTTTCTGGGAAAAGATGTAGCCGACTTTTATACATCACTCGAACCGCTGACAGCTTTAGCTTTAAAAGTATGACGCAAATTTTTCAAAATTTTGCTTCGTTGTTGAAAAATTTCATTTTTTTTAAAATACATTGGTTCGTTCCAAATTCAGGCAAGTGTCTTCTCCATAAAGTTTTCAATTATTAGTCCAAAAACTGAAAAATTGGCTTCAGACTTAAAAAGTATCATAGAAAGCCATGGAATCATTTTCAAGGTCTTCAGAGGTTCTTCAGAAAACTGGTTTTCTAGAGAGCGCCTGATAAACGTCTTTCACCAAAAACTATCTGCAATAATAGAGAAACGACTTTGCATCAAAATCAGATCTTCCTGCGCGAGTTGTTAGGTATTAAATGCGGCACTGCATACTCTCGGATTCAAACGGGAGAAGAAGAAGAGTTCAGGAGAAGAAATTTTAAAGAAATTTATAATTTGTTTATTAATTGTTTAGTATTGTTTATTAAAAAGTCTATTAAGTCGCTCTACAGAGTAGAAGACGAGTCCCGTGATTATAATTTACCTGAACATTATACAAGGCCCACTTTGTTCATGTGCATCAATTTCTGTTTTCTATAGCACGAAAATACTTGATCGCAATACAAACGCATCTCCAAACTTATAATTTGCGGAACAAAACAGAAGCCCACTGAGCTTCTGTTCTGTAGGGAGGTTTATTTAAAAACCTTTAAGCATTTGAAAGTCTTTCCGTGTCATTATGCACGCATCCTGCTAGTCATATTATACTTGAACAGCATCAAGAATAGGTTTTCTCGACTCCATTCTAACTGCAGAATCCTCCATAATAGCTTCGGAAGTTAAAAAGAACCAGAACGCCGAGAATTTGGCAATTTTTAAAAATGAAGCAGTTTTTTGAACTAATGGGCTATCTGAAAACGTTGAAAGCTTTTCGGTTGGCATGCACCGGGCGAGAACATCTCGAAATTCCCATGTGGGGAATCCCGAAAGTCAGGAATCTCGAACTCGGCAATCCCAATATTCCGGTCGATGATAAAATTTTGTTCTGGAGTTTCAGTTTTGAATGTATTAAAAACCTATCAGGCGCAAAATCTATAAGTAATAATAACTTCGCGACTAACCTATGCATGCACCGGGTCGGGAAGGTCATTACACCTTTCTCATTATTCTCACGACACGGCGGCAAGCGACAGAAAATTTAAAATTCGAAATCCCGAGTTTCGAGATTCTCCAATTTCGGGATTCCCGACCCGGTGCATGCCTATTTCCGGATAAAAGTCATTCCAAAAAAATTAAAAAACACATGTTCTTGATCAGCTTGATGGGCTCTATCCAACCATGTGTTGAAAAACGAAAAATAAAGTTTGCATTTTTGGCACCTCAGAACGTATAATAACTACTGTTATTATATACCATTTTGTTCAAAAGTTGTTCGAAAAAACACCAGAAATACCGTAATTTTAAAAGAACAGTAGTACACGACCCAACACTCCCTTATTTTGAAACTTAGTTTCTATGGACAAAAGAAAGAGCGTAACGTTGTGACAAAAAGATGTGCATCTTTAAGGGGATGGGGGGACTTTTTACAAATTTTGTCAGAACGAATGATAAAAAGCTTTTCTCTGGAAGCCATTTTGTAGTTTAATCCATCGGCTATCCGATCGTAAAAAAGTTATTCTCAATTCAATTCTGCAAGCCCAGAATAATAATTTTACTTTTGTAACGCTGTTGTTCAGAAATTTTTCTACTTATTGGCTATATGGCTCTATTGTCAAAGTAAACATCACAAAACTCGAATTTTCACATCTATGTAGGGTTTGTCATAGATGGAAGACATTTCAGTGTAGCAATAACGTAAAAAATCGTTTTCAAGTTTTTGAAAACCTTTCCAAAAAAATGCCTGTTGTTCGAGGGTGAAAAACATAAAATGCTTATCCCATTTATTAGAAGCGTTTGAATTCTAAATAAATTTAGCCATCTTGTAGAGAATTTAATTCTCTATTGACTGGTGTGATTTTTAAATTTTCTCAAATAACTATTTGGGTCATGAAACTAAAATTACAAATTTTACAAATTTTAATGTCGAATTTTTATTTTTATTTTTTAAAAATGTCATATCCGTAATCAGCGTGGAAAATGTGATTTACTCGTGACAGTTCTACGATGAAAAACATTTTTCAAACACTTAATCAGGGAGATGTCGCGTTACTGTAGATGTTATTGCATAATTGTTACTTTTATTTTTTATTTTTCTTCTTCCAAGTGTAATAGCTGGCACAAATCTGAATACTGATTTGAATCCGGAGATTTTTCTGCCAAATGAGGTAAATATCGAGATTTTATAAAAAGCACTTGATAATAGGGTTTCTGGAAAACTGGAATCCTAGAAAACAGAGTGCTTGGATTTTAACAAACAAAACTTGCTAATGTTATCGAATAAAGTATTGTGAGCAAAATAAGATGTCTCTCATCTATCTGTGAAGATTTTTCTCGACTGCGGTCGATTTATCAAGGCCACAAAGGTTCAAAATCAGTAAATTCTACGGGAAAACAGTCATATGTCTTGGTGGCCTCTCATATATGGACCGAAGTTCAATGAAAAAACGTCACCGATAGATGAAAGACACCTTATTTTGCTTAGAATACTTTATTCTATAAGATGGTATGGCCTGCAAATGTTTTTTATTAAAATCCAAACACTCTGTTTTCTAGGGTTTCAGTTTTCCAGAAACCCTATTATCAAGTGCCTTTATAAAATCTCGTTATTTACCTCATTTGGTAGAAAAATCTCCGGATTCAAATCAGTATTCAGATTTGTTCCATCTTTTGCCTGAAAGAAGAAAAATAAAAAATAAAGGGAATGCTATAATTATGGAACACCCTGTCGGTTCGCCCAATATCGCCCATAAGTTGTGTTTGATTAGGAGACTTGGATTCTCAAAAATTTGCTGAAATATGAGGCTAGCGTCTGATAGAGGTGAAATTTTCATCATAAGTACTTCAGCCTTTATCCTAGGTTCTAAATTCTTCTAAGTACTGTCAGTTTCACTCTACGGGAAACCACTTCAACTGTCCGATCGTTGTTTTCACGAAATCTAGTGGACAATAAGTAATCGAGTGTGCTAAATTCGAATATCATAGTGGTTTGAGTGTCTAGGCCTCCAGAGACCGGTTTTCTGGAACACCAGTTTTTCAGAAACACTAAAAAATAAACAAAACCTTTCTTAATGAGGCACAATTGTAGACCGCATATTTCTGATTAAAATGAGACATCTCCCAGCTCTACATGGCCTTTCTTTGCAAAGTTATAGAATTTACAAGGACAGCCGCAAAGCTACAGAAATTAGAAGAAAATAATTTAGAGCTTGTCTTGTAAACTCTATAACTTTGCAAAGAAAGACCATGTAGAGCTGGGAGATGTCTCATTTTAATCAGAAATGTGCGGTCTACAATCATGCCTCATTAAGAAACGTTTAGGACTTCTACGCTTCCAATAGAGTCAAAAAAGAGATGCAGAACTCTAAGCAATCTGTCTGAGAATAGATTTTTATTTAACGACTTTCTGAAAAGCTGATTTTATTTAATTTAGCACTCACCATCATCGTCATCAGTTCAATCTCAGCATGTTCCACATGCTTTCAATAATAATCATAATCGCATAACGCATTCAAAAAGTTCTCTACCATTGTTTACGTTAGGCGGAAGTTATAAAAAGGAACAGAATTTAACTCTTTCAAGCAATAGTACAACCGATGATAATGATATGAGAACGACAATTCAACAATTAATAACCGAAACGGACGAAGAAAAACCTGATAATGAATCAATACAAGACAAGGCTAGTATCAAGAATTATCATGTGATTAATAAAGAAGAAGAAATTAGTCCATCTGATGATATGGAGTTCGAACAATGGGATGATGAAGAAATTCGACGATATTTTGCTGAAGGTTTTAATGATACATCCAATGGTATCGCATGTAAAATATTATCACTTGTTTATGGTCTATTATTTAGTCTATTTGGTATAACATTATCCGTTTCATATGCTGTTAAAGGACACAAATTAATCGAATTAGTTGAAAATGGATTTTTTATATATTTATATTTATTATCAATATTATGGATATGTTTTTGTTTATGGGATATTCGAAGTTGGAAAATGAAACTACGTGTTGTCAAAGAATATACAAAAGAACGCTCCTCATCAATAAATTCGTTGGATGGTAATATTGCTGGAGGATACTATCATAATGATAAATTTGGATCAGGTATACACATAATTCATTTTACTCCTGTGTAGAATTTTTAAACGTGTCTTAGTTTAATACCGCGGGGGGGGGGGGCGCGCCCGGCGCCGCCCCCGCGCCCGCGGGGGGGGGGGGGGGGGGCGCGGGGTCAAGATGATTTGTGGTTTTTTTGTTGTGGGGTGTGGTTTGGTTG